CAGACCCTGACCCTGTGTGCAGACCCTGATCCTGTGTGCAGACCCTGACCCTGTGTGCAGACTCTGTGTACAGTGCATTCTATCCATCTCTGGGGTGAAATTTTTGTTTTTTCTTGACCTCTCCCACCCCTTCCATTTGCAATTAATCTGTGGTAACACAGATATTAAGCTTTAAAATTCAAATGTGCTGGTATTTAGTGCTTCATCTATGTAAGAGGAAATAAGGTTTAAAAAACAAATGTGTTCTATAGTTCAAATTTGAATAGGAAGCTTTCAAAGCTTTCCCTGCAGGCTCTCTTCTAAAATGCAGGAAGGCATTACCTCCGTTTGCCACAGACAGATGTAAGTGGTCCATCACAGACAGCATACTAGTGTTTTATATCATCCTAGAACACTAGGCAGCACTTAGACTACAGAGGAAAAGTAGCTCTTCTTCCATCCCAACAAAATGCATACTCCTTCCCCCTCTGCTCCTATAACATACATTCTAAATTGGATGGTTCATTTCCCATTGACTTTATTAAGGTAAGTCTTCAATCAATGCCCACAGAGATCACAATCAAATGAAAACAAAACAAAAACCCCTAGGAAAAAAGGTAGATGTCAGCATAGACTTCTCTAAGTAACACGAACTCCTGGCAGTTGCTCCCAACTAGACGCGAGAACTTACTTAATACAATGTTAAGTTTAAGGAGTCGGCTGTGACTGTATGTGGTGTCATTTGCTTTTGATCTCTGGGTGGCTGGTGTGGGTTTGAACACAAAATGTCCCCTGTAGGCTCATATATTTAAGTACTTGGTCCCTGGGGTGGTGCTGCTTAGAAAGTGACAGAAGTTTTGGAGCAGTTCTCAGCCTTCCTAATGCTGCAACCCTTTAAGGCAGTTCTTCATGTTGGGTGACCACTAACATAAAATTGTGTTGTTGCTACGTCGTCACTGCAACTGTCCTCCTGCTATAAACTGAAATATACATGTAATGTGCAGGGTGTCTGAGACGTGACCCCCAGGGCTTCATGACCCACAGCTTGAGAGTGCTTACAGCAGGGAGAACATTGCTAAGGCTGGGCGCTGAGCGTGTGCAGCCTCCCTTCCACTTCCTTCTCTCGCTTCATGCTTGCATGACGTGTTCCCTCAGCCTCCTGCTCCGGCCACCTGCTCCCCTCCCTTGCAATCACACCTCAGGTGCCCGAGCACAGCACAATCCTTCTTCCTTAGGCTGGCTGTTGCACCACGCGGTGCACAGCAGCTGGGGTTGTGCGCTCACCTTCCCCACAGGGCCAGACTCCTCAACACTCTGTCATGGAGAGGGCAGGGTTGGGAGGGCCCCAAGGGCCCTTTCCTGGGGATGTGTAATCTGCTAAAGCTGCCCGGGAAAGGAGAATCGCTCCCTTCAACGGTCCTAAGGCGCCCGCAAGGCACCGATGCTCCTGGAAGCGAACTCCCAACCACACTCATGGAAACAGCCCTGAAGAAAGTCTCCCCACCCACAACCAAAAGAAGCACGGCAGTGGAAGGGAGGCTGGTGGGAAACAGGCCCAGGCTCACCTGAGTGTGGCTGCTGAGGAAGAGACAGCAGCAGGGGAGGAGACAAAGTACTGAAATTCACGGTGTACAAGTGTGAATCTCATCATGTTCAACTGGTATTTGCTAATAAAACATTAAGAATTTGATTTACAGAAACTGGTTAGTGTTAAAAGGCATGGGGGAACTTTCTCGAACATAAACAACCTGTGTATCTTAATAATGGTTACACAGGCAATGACTGCATAGGAATATAGTAAATAAAACTTTATTAAGCTTCACACTTAAGAATTGTGTATTTCTGTGTATAAATTCTACCTCAAATAGAAGTCTTCTTACTCCAAATATCTAGGAATCAGTATTCCCAGGATCCAGGCCACCATGAGATGTTTCCAATGGAAACATTTGTTTCCTGTGGCCAATGAAAACAACGGGAATAGTAAAATGACGTTTTTATAAGTTAACTTTCTATTACTTAATGGAACATCCGTTATTGGGAGAGTATGTCCTTTTTGTGATATCTCAGTACTGTCCTATCCTGTTATTTTAATGTCATCTCTTTAATTCAGAAAAATGACAATAAATGGTATTTCTTTTTCTTTTGGTTATTTGTTATCATTTTCTTTTGATATCATTAGTCTGTCTTCACATAGCAAAATAAAGAGCTGACAGCATATTCCTCTACACAAGAGTGAAATGCGTTCCCTAAACAACCTCACTGTCGGTCCAGCCATAGAAGACTGGCTATGAACCTGTGTTTACTCCAGTCCAGCTCTGCCTTCCCGCACTGGCCCAGGAAGACAGAGTGTGTGTTCTCATTCCAGAGATGTGGCTCATCCTTGCCTGCTAAAGTCACTGGCTCCTTCTGCCCACGAACCTTTCCAGGGACCTGGCAGTGTCTCCAATGTAGAGGGGTCTACGCTTCTGAAAGATCCCAGTGCAGCATAAACCCACATCTCAGAAGAATCAGAGAGAGAGAAAGAGAGACAGAGAGAGATACAGAGACAGAAAGAGAGAGAGGGAAATAGAGACAGAGAGACAGAGACAGAAAGACAGGGAAACAGAGAGAGACAGAGACAGAAAGACAGAGAGGGAAAGAGAGAGAGAATGCCCGTGTAGCTAGGAATCTGACCTAACCGTGACCAGAAGCAACAACCTCAGGACCCTCAGCAGACAGCACAGCCGCCCCTCTGCCTGATCACACTGAGACAGCCTGCCACTCTGCACTTGAGGTTACAATTCTAACACAGGCTGGTTGGATGCTTTCTCCTCTCAAGGAGAACGTCTGACAAGGTGGTGAGAGACTGTTACCTGTAAAATCCCTTGAGGTTCACTCTGTCCTTTACCAGGTCAGCTGCTTGAACAATAATAATATTCCTTAATGCTCTTCCGGCACAAGAAGAATTCTCTCCATAAATCTAAGTGGAAAGGACAAACAATCACTGTAAATGTAGAATAATGTGACAGTCTGTGAGCTATATATAAGTATCATGATCATTTCCCTAAGCTTCAGGCACATTTTCGCCTATAAAGCCACAGGCCTATAATTGCCTTATTTTAACTGCTGGTCCACTTATGCTACTAGACTATAATAACTTTTCCAAATGTAAAATGCTTTACTTAACCATTCCCGTAATATTCTTTTAAAACACAAAGATATCTGTGTAAATATCCACTGTTTTAAAAATAATGTTCCAATCACTGCAGTAAATGGGAGAGTAATTTAATCTATGTAGATTAATCACAATTGTTTAACCTACTAACTTGGCCATGTTGGTAATTCATGCATCTAAAAGCCTTGGACGCTAACTCCCCACTTAGTGAATGGTGTAAGGACGAAGCAGAGCTGCAGCAGCTGCTTTGCCCTGATGTTTCACACAGAATTCACAGCTAATTCCAGATGTTATGATTTGATCTACAGAACAAGTACAAGTAGATCTTCACAAGTCTGTCTTTCGGAGAGATCTCATTAACTTCTTTCTTTAATCTCATTCCTCCACCCGAGTCTCCGGTCTCTAGAGAAGAAGGAACGTACCTCCAGAGAGCACTAGGCCCTATTTTTAAAACTACCTCTTTTTTTCCAATTGCATCTTCCTCTATAGCACAAGGCTGAGGTGAAATTCAGTGAACTAACTTCAAAAGATGAACGCTCGTCAGAATTATTGTACACTGCTGAATGTTTACAGCCTTCCATTTGTTGGCTTTTTTCATAGTGTGAAATTATATATACATATGTGTGTGTGTGTGTGTGTGTGTTTATGGATGTATGGATGTGTGCTGTGAACGTGGTGCCTGATGCCTTTGAAAGAAGAAGATGCTAGAGTCCCTGGAACTGGAGTTACAGATGGTTGGAAGCCACTTTGTAGATTCTGGGACTCAAACCTGTGACTTTCAGAAGAGCTGCCAGTGCTCTTAACTGCTGATGTATCTCTCCAGCCTTATTTGATTCTTGGCAAACTCTTTTTGTTTTTGTTTTTGTTTTTTTTCTTTTCTTTTTGTGGAACTGTGCTGGGTTTGTGCTCAGGGCCTTGTGCATGCGATGTCAACGCTCTGGGACTGTGCTGCGCCTCTTAGTGAACTGTTGACGTATTTGTTCACTGTAGGTGTCTACACTGTCTCTTGAAGCAAACAAACTGATAATATATTGGTTATGACTGGATAGGATCTAAGTGCTCAGGCTTAATTCTCCCAATATTATCACTTGAATACAATCTGATGAGAAAGAGAAATGGGCCAGAAATGATTCCCTGTTAACAAGCTTTGAAACAAATCTTGAACAAGATACATGATAAAAAGTTCCTGAGGCAGAGGCATGAGTCAGCTGATGCTTAGCTAGTCCTGACACCTACGAGGTTCATTCAACAAGTGTAAAGCTGACAGGTGCAGGGTCTGTTCCGGGTGTGTAACACAGTGAAGAGCAAGATAGTCCAGGCCCTCGCCTCCCAGCTCCTGTTCCGAAGAACGGGAAAGTGTGTCCAATTCTTTAATGCAACACAGTAAACACATATCCGTCCCCTCATCAGTGAGCACAGAGGTGACAAATGGCCTTAGGGCTCTATCACATTGGTAATTTATTTCAAAGCATGTGGAAAACAGTTACTTCTTATCTCATGAGTGTCAGGAATCATGACATTGAGCAAGAAATTGCAGCTTCTTCATTGTCTTCCCTGAGGGGCAGCTGAATGATGACTGCATTATACATGCAAAACTCCAGCTCAGGGCAGGTAGAACACAAGAATTCTCCACTAGCATTTGTTAACCAACATTACAAAAAGTACTGAAGGAGAGAAAAAACAGTTTCATACCTGGGAAGGACTATGTTCGAGGTATGGGTTGGAAATTCTTCTTGAGAGAGTCTATTAAAAAAAAAAAAAAGAGAGGAAATTAGACTCAAACAGATACTTTGAACCAAAAGAAGCAAAGTATTTACACAAAAGGAAGTATTTACACAAAGATAAGTTTAATGAACCTTACATCTCTCCTAAGGGGTCTGGTCAACCTTCACACCAACCAGAAAGCACAGTCCACTTGAAGAGCTCATGACTACCTCAGGGCACACTAGCAGCAGTAATGCGCGAGCTGCGTCTTCAGACCTCACCTCACTCCTGACAAGCCTGGAGCTCCATCTTTCCCACACCTCATTCCCAACAAGCCTGGGCCTCCATCTCCCCCTCACCTCACTCCCAACAAGCCTGGAGCTCCATCTCCCCCTCACCTCACTCCCAACAAG